GCCAAGTTTGAAGTTGATAATATGCCCTGTAACAATGCTGCACCTTCTGTGGGTGGGAGATTTGCCAATATGAAAGATGATTTAATTTTTGCCAATTGATATTTTTGAAATCTTAATTGATTCAGTGTTATATTATCATTTTTACATTTACAAATAGATTTGATTAATTGTAATCCATTTTTTTCGATATCTTTTTTGTTTGCATCTTTTTTACAAAAAATATTGGCCTAATTTGAAACATTTTTATCGTCTAATAATGAATTTACAATATTCTTCTTTCCTATTCCGGCAAATCCAGATGTTGTATCGCAACCAGAAAAACAATGCAGAAAAGCAACGATATTTTTGAGGGATTCATATTTGAAACTATTAGACGTAAAAAATAGATCTTTTACATTTCCAGAAACTGGTTTGAGAAAATAAATGTCATGATTATTTGAAGTTAATTGATTCAAAAGGACCAAAAGATCAATATCTTGACCCACAACAATGACAGTTTTATTGGTATCTCTGGCAATTTCTATCGAAGTTTTAACAATGTCTGCATCAGTATTTTCTTCTGCTTATTTACAGGAAAATCCTTGTGACTGTAATCTTTTCATTAACGCTGCTACGAAATAACAGGTAGAAAGACCTAGACCCGCCTAGCCTCTTCCTCACTTCTCTATGAAATACCTTTTGATGGGCTAAAATTATCACTAGGTAACTCAGGTATATAAGTTATCTTAAAATAGCAATAAATAGGCATCTATGCACATAATTTAATAATATTTTATAACTTTCTCAAAATATTGTAGATGTCTTATTAAATATTAACTTATTTGGTTTTTAATTATAGTAGTATATTTCGATTTGTATTTTTTTGTTTATCAATGTAACATAGAATCTTACGTTTTTCAAGTAATTAAAGTGTAAATTTTACTAAATAGCTCAAAATTGTACATAGTGATTAAAAAAAAAAAATTTCGGATTTGAGTTTTTTTTTTCTTTGCATTTTCTGAGAACATTTACCATAGTAATGTATATATTTGTTTTACATTATCAGAAAGAAGAGATTACAACGAACAAAAAACACCCCGACTTTTTTTAAAAAGCTGATATTTTGACGCGAGAATTTCCGATTGAAAATTAGGGTGTTTTTTCGATATTAAGTCAAGATAAGGTGAAAAAATAAATATTTCAAATCAAAAAAATTACAGTGTCTTTAGGACATAAAAAGGTAAGTTTTCACCAAATTTTGAGAAAAAATTTTTTTTTTGCATAAAATAAAAATAAAAAACCAAAAACTTGATTATTTGAATTTTTCACATAAATTTAGAGGATATGTAAAAAGTGTAATTACAAAAGTTGTATGTCTCTTTATTACATACAACTTTCTCATTTAATTTTTTTCCATAGGACTTGTAGTTTTCCCAAGATACACCGTTTTTTACCCTTAAAAACTCACCCCGTTCCACTTCCTGACCTCAGATCGCCCGTAATTTATTTTTCCTTTCATTTTTGTTATATTCTCGTCCTTTTTTAACGTGTTTCATCCTACTATTATTTTTTTTTTGTTTCAAAAATTATCGACCCTGGTCTAATACCACATCATTTGAATTTAAAAATAAAAGGCAACAAAAGCATTACTTTATTATGTCTCGTACGATTGCAAATATTAAGAAATGTTTATTTTTACTTTCTATTTGCACGGTGTTTAATTTCATACGTCAGATGTGTACTGTTTTGTTTCTATATAGGTACCTAAGCATAATTATTTGAATGTGTATATATCATACATACATATTTTTTAAAACTATTTAAATTCGAGAGACGCTAAAATGGTGGTTCCCACCTTATCGAGACTGAGGCCCACAAGGGTAAACTCGTAGCGTAACAAAAACGGGAAATGATTTAACTTGGAACGAAATAGCGAAAGCCGATACTAGTATTAGCACGTAGCGAAAGCCGATACTAGTATTAGCACGTTGAATGTTTTGGTTTGTGAAGCATTGGCATTACTTAGGTTAAACCATGTAATGATTTTCACAAGCCTTGATTGTTAAAACCATTCTATATCGCCTTTTTATTAGGGTTTAAAAACTTGTTTGAGCAATTTATCCAATAACAATTGGCCCCTTTACCATGTAAAATATTTGGACTTCTTACTTCGCCTATTTATATTCTATTAATAAAGGACAGAAGGATGAGTATTGCAACTATGTTAAAAGAAATAAATTGGCTTTCAGTTCAGAATTATGTTCAGTACATGACTGATATTTATTTAGAAAATAAAAATGACATAGTACCATCGCATCAAATCTATTAGAAAAATTCAATATAAATCGCAATATCACAACTATAATACAAGAAACCAATCTGATTTGGAGTGAGGGTAGCCATATGTGAGTAGTAGGGATTAAGTGTAAGGGGTTAAAGAAAAGGTCCTTTATTTCTCACAAGTTAATTTAATTGGCGACCGGTTTCGAAGCTGTCACTTCATCATCAGGCACACCTAAATGGAATGTCAAGGAGTCAGTTGTAATAAAAAAACAATTATAAAAGCATGAACGGACTTTAACATATACAAAATGACAGAAAAAACACAAAAGAAAGTTAAACAATAACCTTGACTCACCTTGACTATTTCCATAAAGGAATCTTTATTAGTTTATTCAAATTCTCCCACGTGGTTGTCATACGCCAAAATTTGATTTTCTTTTTTGACATTCGTACTTGTCAACTTAGTTTCTGTTTCCTGTAACAGTAATTTTTCTTTTGATTATCTGCTTCAAATTTCCCTTTTACATATAAATTTTTATATTTTCTTGTTCAGTGTTCTAATTTTCTTGTTAGTATTTTTTGCTTTCTCATTTCCCAGTTTAATATTTTTACTTTCAATAAATTTTGTCACCGCCACCTATACTCACTTTCAGTAAATAACACCTTTGTTAGTACACTATTTATCCGCTAAATTTAAAATTTACAGTTTACTACATTGATTCGTTAAAAATCTAGATAGATGTCTTGAGAGTTTGATAATTTTTACTTTTTACTTTTTTACTTTTTACTTTCATTAATTGACGTTATATCCTTAAAAATTTTAAACTGTTTGTGCTTGTAAAACTATTTTGTGTTGTTTAGTTAATAATTGTCTTACATGTGTTTTAATTAATTTATTCAAACAGACATCTCGCGGTTTAACCTAACCTAAAATATTTTTTAAAAAATACTATTGTATTACATATGACTTTTTTAACTCGTTTTGTTAAACTTTATGTAGCGCTTCCTTTATGGAAATAGTCAAGGTGAGTCAAGGTTATTGTTTAACTTTCTTTTGTGTTTTTTCTGTTATTTTGTATATGTTAAAGTCCGTTCATGCTTTTATAATTGTTTTTATTACAACTGACTCCTTGACATTCCATTTAGGTGTGCCTGATGATGAAGTGACAGCTTCGAAACCGGTCGCCAATTAAATTGACTTGTGAGAAATAAAGGACCTTTTCTTTAACCCCTTACACTTCCTGCAGAAATTAAAAAAAAAAACAATAAATGTATTCAAAAGTAACCTCAAACAATACTTAATAAATAAACAGAACGGATATACTTTCTCGTGATCATACTCTTTAAACCTGCCCTTTTTAAGTATTTCCTTTAATTTATTATTTTATCCCTCGTCTTATCCTCATTTATTATAGATTATTTGTTTTGAGATCATGTACTTTATTTTAAAAAATTACTTGATGTTATGTTAATACCACTTACTATGTTTAAATTATTAATAGTTTTGTAAAGATAGGTTATAGCAACTCATAGCCACAAAACTATTTTTGTGTTAAAGTAGATCCATAGAGAGCAATGTAATTTACAAAGCCTTCTTTCAACATACAAATAAATGACAACTTTATAATTAAAATGAAAAACACAACAAAATCCTTGGTATCATAAATGATTCAAATTTGAAATGGGCATTATATCCTACCTCTCTTTTATATAATAAAAAAGTGCTTTGTTTATTGCTGTACTTTTATTTATGGAAAGCCTGAATTGAGATATTTATTATTTGCAATAAATATCAAAAGAAGTATTTTTAAATAATTTGACATTTAAGAGCCATTCACATATCACAGTTGACATCTTGATACTTGACAGGCACAGCCAAGCATTATTTTGATTTTTGCCAAATAAAATGGCCAGTTAATTATTCTATGGGGTTGCGACAGAGAAATTTGATGAAGGTGTTTTTGTGGCTAGGGGTGAAATAGTAGTACGCTTAATAGCACCACCATAAAAAGTAATTTTTAAGAAACTGCTTATATATTTTTCATAAATTGGCAGGCTTGGCGACTAATTTCGAATGAAAATAGCCTCCAAAATGGCTATATGGTTGCAAGTATGAAAGTCGCAACCCGCCTTACAAATTTCACCTTTACTATCAACAGCTATTGTTTGACAGATCGTTAGAGAATGTTTCCAATTAATGGAATGTTAGGAATTTTGACCTTAGAAATAATTCCTAAAATCGTTCACATAAGGAATGCATAGGCGGATTTTAAGAAAATTGTTATTAAAGTAGTTAGGATAAACCGAAATTTCTGAAAATCAATAGGGTTCTAAGTTAGAAGTAATTATTCAAGAAAATCAAAACCGCAAGTCAATCAGAACTTTCGTTCTAGAGTTATCGTGCCGGCATACATACAGACGACCAGACGAAAAAATTTGATTTTCGGATTCAGAATAATCAGAAACATGAAAAAAAGTTTTAAAAAATGGGGGTCAGAAAATTTTTCGTCTGCACGAATGCAATACTGAGGGCCCATAGGAAGGGCCTCAGTAATAATTCCTTAAAATATCGTTTCGTAGTATTATCATTACTTTTTATTGTCTTTTAAATTTTTACTTATTCCTGAATATACTGTTTACTGGCCAGGAGTACAAATAGCAAATACCAATACCATTTCAATAATAATACCTCATAATTTTTTTGTTTTTTTTACTAATTAATGTTATCTTCTTTGCAGATACCTACATGAAATATTTCATATTGCTGTTAGTCGCCCAGGCGGCGGTATGTTTAATACCGGTGCAACCCACGAGTTCAAATTTTGCATTGATAATTGCACTTGTAAATTCGGCAAGCTACCAAGCCTATTACAAATAATTAACTGTGCTAAGCCCTTAGTACTAAATGCCAAAACATTCCAATCTCTCAACAAGGCAGTGATCAACGTCGTAAGCTTAGAAAATTTGATTATTAACAAAATTCAAGAAAATGCATTTAGTGAGTTCTCAAATTTAGATGACGTCATTGTTCTTAACACAAAAATAGGATCCATAGATGCTAAAGCCTTTACCAACGTCACCAGGCTCAGATTTCAAGAATGCGGCTTCGAAGACAGCCCTGATCTCTTTTCAGAAAAATTGGAAGAGGTCCACTTTGGTAGCTGTAATCTAGAAGAAATTCCTAACCTCGATGGATTACTGAACCTCGCATTTCTAAATCTAACAGGCAATTATATCAAAAATATTGAAGTAGAAGCTTTTGCTGAACTTTTCGAATTAGAAGAACTGTATCTCTCGAACAACGAAATATTTAAACTTCCAGCTACTAGTTTTATCAACAATCAGGATCTTATTACCCTAAATTTGGATAATAATCCACTTAAATACTTCGCTCTTAATACTTCTGACAGTTTAGAGACGTTGTCTTTAAAGAATTGTAAGCTCGACAGTTTCGATGAAGAATCCACTCGTAAATTAACTTCTTTAAACGAATTGATACTGAGTTATAACAATATCAAGAATATTACTACCAAATCTCTGAGCTACATGAGCGAGTTATCGGTTGTTGATCTTTCTTACAACAAACTAACTAAATTAGACGATAATATCTTTTCTGCTAACAGTAAACTGATCAAGATCACTCTTGATGGTAACAATTTCCAAACTTTACCAGATTTTTATCTAAACAATGACGAGTCCTTCTCCCTTTACACCTTCTCTTGCAAATACTGTAATTTGAAAGAATTATCTGCATCAGTTTTTGAAAACATGGAAGGCATGATTAACTTAGAACTTTCTCACAACAAATTTAAGAATGTTGACAATCTTTTTGAAAAAATATCTAGTTTGAAGCTATTAGACATCTCCCACAACATTATCGAATACTTATCTCCACAGACATTTGTGAATAATCGTAATTTGGAAACGTTAAACATCGCTGGTAACCCTCTGGTATCTTTGAATCCTGAAGTGTTCGCGAATAATCATATTCTGCGTGAAATTGATGCTAGGAATGCTTCACTAATTATGTTATGGTCTAATTACAATAAAGAAGTCCAGTCCCTACGCAAGATTCTTCTTAGTGGTAACCAACTACATACATTAACTGAAGATGACATTAAAGTTATGCCCAAATTAGAAGCAATAGACTTAAACTTAAATCCGTTTTCCTTCAATACGTCTTTATGCTTAGTCTTACAACATTTGGAAGAAAATAATGTACTCCCTATTGAATACACTAAGAATATTAACAATGGTTTTGACAAAACCTTTGGTGAAGACATCGACGGATTCAGCACAATGAAATGGAGAGATTTCCATCATGGCGTTTGTCCAGATTACTATACTCCGGCTCCTACTAAAGAAGTGCCATACGAAAATACTAAATTTGTTCCCGTACCTGTAAATAAAATCGAAACTTTAGACGAAAATGAGGATAATGACGACGATGATGATTCTTCCGATTACGATGATGATCAATATACTTACGACGATACTGAAGACGAAACTTCTACTAGGATGCTCAAAGATGACAGCTCTCTTGCTAGAGCTACCTATATTCTATCAGTTACTTCAGTTTTCGTTTTAAGTGCTTTAGTAGTACTAACAATTGCTGTAACGATAACCTTGTGCGTTCTCCGTAGGAATAATAGATTTGAGATGCAGAGAGCAAACCTACCTCGTCTGAAGATTCCGCTTTGGAATACAATGTCGGGACAAAAGAAACATAGTGGATCTGTGTACAGGCCTTTATCTGAAGATCTTTCTGGTCCGAAGACGCCAAAATTAAGTCGCTACGAGTTCACAACTGCCCCAGTAGTCCATACAGCTTAAGTAGTTATTCAATAAATTTATTTAACGACGTAAATTTCTAGAGCGCACTGGATACTTATTGTTTAATATGTAAATAATCCTTGACTACCCCATTATTGATTTCTTATGGGATAAGAATAAGCAATAGTGTTGTGTAGTCCTACGAATAATACAGGTTGATTTTGCATTTTTCTTACATTAAATACTATCTAGATAAGCAATAAAGACACACAATTTGTGAGATTGATAAAAAAAAAATAACCTCTAGAGTACATGCATATGACGTATCTTAAAACTCTTTTTTTAATATTAATCAACATTTGGAAGAGCTGTACTTAAACATTAAGTTAACCATTTTAAAGAGTTTTTGGATATTGAATATGTTGACGTAAATATTAAAAATATTTTAACTAATTTTAACTTAGACCTATGGTTACTTCCGATACATTTTTACACTGGTAAATTAGCACATTAGTAAATTGTTTATATATTTAATGTTATTGCGCTTATAGATTAGAATAATTGTTAGTTTTAACAGATCACTAAGTTACTTAATCCATTGCCATATATAACTTCTACAGCTCTTCGTAATATATTCTGAAATTCAATGAACTGTTTTACTGTATAACAAAAAAATTGTTATCAATAAATTTTTATCGAAGTATTAAGTTTTTATAGTTACAAACCCTTTGTTTTGTTTTTTTAATAATAAATAAATGACTGCTGATAAATTTGTTTGAAGTCATATGTATAGTAAAAGAACAGAAATTATAGAGGTCCCTATATCACACAAATTTATATTTGGGTTGTTCAAAGAAGAAAAAAGTAAGTATTGATACCTTATCTGAATTTTCACTAAATTTTAGTATGACCACCCCGAAAAATCTCGAATACTATACATTATAAAATGTAAATGAGCAAATGCTAGATTAACCAATAATTCTATACTTCAGTGATGGGGAACACGAAATTAATATAAAAAATAGTAAACTGTCAATATTAAGTACCCACATTTATTTTTATAAAAATAGTATACTAGATATTAGGTGAGGACATTTTCTTAAAGTTTAATAATAACTATACACACAACCATGGGCGTCGTTTGGGGGTGGACAAGGGGGACAGTTGTCCCCTCTGGCACGACTTAATCAACAACGCGTAAGATATGCATTACGAACAACAAACTCATAAAAATATTAATATTCAGGGTAATCTAGTTGAAGAATATTATAGGTTGAATATATTTATTGCATATCTGGATTCCCTTACGTCGCTTACATCACGCTTTTCCGAAGACTCTGTTAGTTTTTTCTTAAGTCTGTTACATCCCAAAAACATAAAAAAATACTTTTTTCACTACCGATTAGACAATGAAAGTAGTGGAAAAATTTGGAATCAACAATTTTGAAGCTGAATACCAAACTGGAGTACGGAAGAGCTTTCTGCACACAATGAGCTCTCCATTAATGATATAGCGTCCAAACATTGTGAATCCAGACAAAGTGGTTTAAAAATTATTTATGACTCTTCCACCAACGACAGAGTTAATCGAAAGAACGTTTAGCACGCTAAGGTATGTTAAAACATGGCTGCGGTCTATTCAATCAGTGCGAAATTAAATCAAAGAAATAAATGGACAGCTGTATAATAAGAAGAAAAAAAACCTTTATTTTTGTAATAACAGTAATACTGAAAAAAATAGACATCAGAAAAGGTTTCTATGAGTTCTTTCGAACTAAAAATGAAGAAAATATAAATTACAATCATAAATATACCAATTATTTTTGTTAAAACGTTTTAATACTACCTTATTATATAATGGTAATGTTTTTATTTTGACACTATTTAATCTATTCTTCAATGACAACTTATTAGGCTTAGACAAGATCTCATACATTTTCTCGTAAATACCTGCCTGTTTTATTATTGATTTTTATTGATTATACTACTTTTTTTTAGCTGAAGTAATAAAAATATATAATAATTGTTTTACAAATCCATATACTTCATATATATTTTTTTAATTACAAAGTCTATTAAAAATTGTATTGTCAGTATACGCAAATATCGTCCGTTAGTTCATAAAATAATTGGCGCTGCTGTCACGTACGGAGCGAATAATGAATGAAAATAGGCTGACTGAAAAATAAATGTACGAGAAATATGGACAAAGCGCCCCACGCTATTTTCACAATAATACTAGTATTTTTCATTTATTATTGTTTTAAGCTTATTTAAAAAATTATTTTTCACTTTTTAGTTCGATATATTATAAAAGCGTGTTTTTAGTTTTTTAAACTATATTTATTTTTTACTTTTTAGTTCGATTAATTATTAAAAAAAAATTTGTAAGTTGAAATTGCTGAAAAAAAACAATAATTTTTTTATTCAGCCGTGGACGGGATTAGAACCCACGATCGGTGAGTCTGGCGATCGACGACCGGCGCCTTAGACCGCTCGGCCAACGAACGAACTTGAGGTAGTGGGATATACTGACAGTAATAAGCCACTTGCTTTTAGTCCAAAGGAGAGTTACAAATATACATACAGGTGAAGCTAATAAAAGCGTGTTAAAAATCTGCGGGAGTCTCCAAATCTGCTGGTACTGTTGGACCAGTGGTTTGTTGAAAAGGCAATTTCGTTGTTACTCTTTCAATACTCTGACTCCACTCTATCTCTATTGTTTCAATTTTCTGTTTTTTTTTTTCGGTTCTCTCTGTTCACTTCGTTCTTGTTTTTCTTTTATTCGATCTTCTTCTTCTATATGATCTTGCTCTTCTATGCTATCTTCCTCTTTTACACTATCTTCCTCTTCCAAATCTCCATCTTCTTCCAACCAATCTACATGATTATCACAAAATTCAACATCAGATGCGTCAGAACCTTCTGAAGGAATATCATCTAATAAAGCATAAGCTTGATCGCTATTTATTTTATTGATCTTTAATTTTCGACTTTAAGAATATCTGAAACAAAGTGTTTCTTTAGCCCTAGTAACCCTAGTGGTGTTATACGAAACCACCAATCAAAATATAAAAATAAAAGTATTAGAATTTCAAATAGAAATGGACATTTTCTTGAAAAATCAGTAAATATGTATCAAAAACTAATAAACTATTGACATCTTACCTGATTTTTTAAAAAAAATTAACACAAAAAAATGAAAAGGCGTGTTAACAAAATCGCAAAAAACGCCACTCTATATGCTCACACATCAGCGACTAAAAGCTAACTAAAACATACTTCGTGAATTTCTTGTTGAAGCCTGTCTAGTTGTGACTCATTTGTGTCGGTGGTTTGCGTAAATCGCGACTAGGAAGCAAGCTAAAAAATTTTAAAAAGGTGGTTTCACAGTGGTATGACTAGGCCGCAAAGGGTTAAATTGCACTTTAATTTCATAGGAATATAATTAGCCGTTTGTGCCATTTTTATTGCACAAATTCACTTAATCAATATCGCTTTTTATCGCCTATTATTACAGAACTAACAATTCTGCGTGTTACAATCACACGACTATACAAACAGAAATGTAAATCTTAAATAAAATAATTTACAATCTGTATAACACTTTCTGCCGATTAGAAATTTTAATCCGTTCTAAGAAAGTTGAGAGCTACTTAAATTAATATTGAATCGTAAATATTTTCTGCCTGTAGAGATTACATACTTACCCTTTCTTTGTTGATTAAAATTACTAGAAAATTTAAGACAAGAATTGAAATAAATTGGTATTTTTAAAAGTTTTAGGAAGAAAACCAAAGATTTTATTTTGGAACAAATAATGCTAAACATTTTATTTTAGAAATTCTCCGTCACGGATTTATGATGTTCTCCTGGATCATAAAAATTTTGCTATCATTCATTTTCAAATAAACTATAGTTAGTTTCTAAGTTTTAAAGAGAAAGTATTCACATTCAGCTAAATTTTTACTTTGGTTAGTACCTAAATGCATAACATTCTCTAACCTAACATACAAAGTGTGAATTAAATAAAATTAGAAAATCCAAATTATTTTTTGACTGAGAATAAAGATACAAATTTAGGTAGCAATCATATAGGCCTGGAAATAGAGTAGATTAATCTGTGAAAAACTAAAATAAAACTAAAAATCGTGACTTTTTAGGGGCGCTTAAAAAAAATTAAGAACGCTGCGCACACGGCTAATCTGAAATAAAAATTATTTTCCAGTCTTCATCTACATTATTCTACAGGATATTTGTAACAAAAAATCCCGCGAGAGTACTACCTTAGTTTTTATAGTTGGTCCTCTAGAGCGTTCTGAATAGAGGCACGTCTTGTCATGTTTTGCAATACGAGCGCAATTGGTTGAACGTATGATCGTATTGAAATACATATTTTTTTTATTTTTTTTGGTTTATTATTGACTTTTTCATAAGTGTTTTACATTTTTCTAGGACATTTTATTTTCCTATTACCCTGCTATAGGAGATCCTCCTTTTCAGGGTGGTGAAATACATATTTCAAAAATCTCATTATATAGCACAAGTAGAAGTTGGAAAGGCTTTTGGTAGGTAGAGAGGAGGTAAACGTCAAATCACGTCGGACGGCTTCGAGAGTTTCGCAGTAATGTTTACCTACCAATGTCGTTTCATAGAATAAGTAATTTTAAATTGTTACCGGCGGCAAACCGGACAATCGAATGTATTTATGGGCTATAAATAATTATTAAACATGTATTATAATATTCAAATCATAATTTTACAAAATTTCAACAGTTATTCACAATTTATTAAACTATTTACTCGATATTGTTTTTAACATCTATAAAATAATTTTGTACGCCAATGTATCGCGTCCACTTCGGTAAGATCCGCCGCAAACCTGTCAATTTATGTGTATATAAAGTGGGAGAACTGGCAAAAGCCTTTCCAACTTCTACTCCTGTTATACCTCAATAAATACACTTTACAATAGGCGCGTGATCGGGGGTCAAAAATTCGGAAAGATTAAAAATTGTAGAGCGCTGAAATGTTACTGGTACCTCTACTTAAGGTGATTACAGCACCCCTTATAATTTTTGAACAAGCATATCGCAAAAGGTATTTTTTTTAAATAATAATTTTGGCAAAATCAATGAGGCAATAATATCTAAAATATGTATGTTTTAGTTTCTTCCAGTTTTCAAGAAAAAAATCAAAGGGCTTTAAATTTTGAAATATCATAATGAAAATAAATGCATTCCTTATAACAGCACTATTCTTAATATAATCCCCAAATTTATGCTCTTAATCTCTTGTTAATGATTTTTTAAAATTCGCCGAAATTAGTGGCTAAAACGCCTCGTTAAGTGCCATTTTCTGGTTTAAACTGGTGTAAATTATTGCAAGAAGCGAATGATGACTCAGAGTGTACGATACGATAGTTACAGTCGCGTTACACCAGAAAGCAGCACTTAACGAGGCGTTTTAGCCACTAATTTCGGCGAATTTTAAAAAATCTTTAACAAGAGATTAAGAGCTTAAATTTGGGGATTATATTAAGAATACTGCTGTTGAGGAATGCATTTATTTTCATTATGATATTTCAAAATTTAAAGCCCTTTGATTTTTTTTCTTCGAAACTGAAAATAATTAAAACTTTAAAATATAAGCAAAATTTTAACTTTTAAAAAAAATTACTTTTTGAGATATACTTCTCCGAAAATTATGCTGTACTCACCTTAAA